GCACAGCACCGAGTAACAAAGGCACGCGGTCGCCGAAGCAGTTTACTAGAATGCAAGTAAAGGCATTCTGTGTCTTGGGTGTACGTCGTAGTCCAGGACCCCTCCATTTCACACTGCTTTCTGTAGTTTGATTCTAGTGGTCACGGTAGGCTCTACAACTGGGAGGAGGAACGATAAGAGTGGGGCAGAGGGAAGCAGTATCGCTACCTTCTAGTACCCCCCCCAACACAGCGCCTCGCCATCATCTCTGTATTGGAACAGGGTTTGTATACGTTCACAAGACCATAGGGCATTAAGTTCAGCGGACAACGGCAACGGTACCTCTCAGAGACGGTATAATGATGGACACTACTACTCTATTTGAACACCTACAGGTAATAAGGGAAGGGGGCATTTGAATAAGGGAGGGGGCCCTTTTAATAAGGAGCCCTTCTGAAAAAACCTTTGGCAAAGATCAAGTGCATAATCTGGTCCGATTATTTTCGTATATAGGGGGGGCAATTGGAGTCCCAAAAGAAGGTCAGAGATGGGAGGAAAAGAAGGGGTGGGGGAGGAAAGGAGGAGAGAGGGAGAGAGAGTGCCAGGGAAGCAGATCGTTAAAGATGAAAGGTTTTTTGAAGGAAAGACATGAAGTCTCTAAAGAAAAGAAAAAAGGAAAAGAAGAAAAAAGAGTCGTGAAGTCTTGACTCACGAAAAACCAAAAACAGATGGCGTTTAAAGTTTAAAGTTTAAACTTCAACTAGATCTTCATTTCGTCTGTAAATAATTAAAATAAATGACATTCAGGCAGAGATTACAGATTTTTTCGATGAAAACAACTGAAACGACAACTAGGAAGATCGTTTAATCATTAATCGTTTCTTAAATGATTTTAAAACATTTATTATTTACCAAACTAACAAACAGTATTTTACTATTTTCTTTCGCATTATAAATGCTACAAACTCTAAAAGGGTAATGGAAAATCAGAAAAAAAAATGAATAGATGGATGTGTCCTCCTAAGAGCTCAATCTGACTAAGCACAACCCATTCAACGAATTGAAAGAAAAGAAAGAGAGAGAGAGAGAAAGAGAGAGAGAGAGAGAGAGAGAAATAGAAATTACTTACAGACGGGAAGGATTCAGTCTGATATACACCGCTGGTGCACTGGTAAAAAAAAAAAAAAAGGAAATTACCTTCACACATTCTACAGAAATTACTTTTGCAAAAGGAAAAAAAGAAAATAGGGTTGATTATTCATGTCATGGTCAAACGGAAAATTCAAAATGCTGTATTTTTATAATTTTATTATTATGCAAAGTAATTAGTAATTACAGTTTTTTTTGCCTGTGGAAAAGGAAACAGACTGATGCTCCCAAGAATGCAAACGGAGCCAGGGTAATAATAATATGTTTTCCTTATTTAAAAAAGGAAAAAAATTACCAATTAGTAAATTAGTAATTAGTATTTTTCTTCTTTAGTTCGACAGTTACAGGAGGCAATATCGATCACAGGTGCAGTACTTCTCCTGTCGACATTTATGCCCTGCCCCGCCTCCTCATCCCCCCCCCTCCCGCCCCCACCCAAAAGAAAAGGGAAAAAAAAAAGTAAGCATCATTTCTCATCAGACTGATCGGAGAGTTAAACTTTGCTCGAATGCCTCCGCAGAGTTACTTATTTGCTAGAAAATGAGATTTAATATTTTTTGGTTATTTTCTTAAATCATTAAATGCCTCCATCATCCAATAATACACATCACGGATCATTGCTGCCGACGAGCGACTTTATCTGAATGCATGTTTACCTCCCACTCATCCTCCATAGAACTGCTCTAGCATGACTGCAAAGAATGCACCTGGACGAAATGAACATCCTGATACAGACCTTTGCAAAATGCACCTGGACCGATTCAAAATAACGATACGGGTCCAGCACCATTGCAAACCAGCAACTTAACAGCAAGGTACTTCTGTGGGCACATATCACAACCCCTCCCTCATCCTAGCATGACTTCTTCTACCGTTCAATTTATTTATTTATTTTCTTTTTTTGCAAATTTTGCTCTAATGCCTCTTCCCAATGTGCTCCGATTCTTCAGTCAGAACACACCCGGACAAAAACTACACACACAGCGAACTGTCAGAATGTACCTGGACCTCAAGGTGGTTGAGTGCATGATCTTATCCCGATGTGTATGTACTCCATTTCTTCAGTCAGAACACACCCGGACAAAAACTACACACACAGCGAACTGTCAGAATGTACCTGGACCTCAAGGTGGTT